ATTGAAAGTTTCTAAAGAATCCTTAACACTATCCGTGACGGCCTATTTTTATTTTCTCAGTGATGGGGGGGGTGCTTTCTGGCCCCTCCTTTTTTTAATATCTAATATTTTTACATGCTGCTAGTGAGAGAACCTGTTGTTAAAGTATTTGAATCCCACCACTGATTGCATGTGAAGTCATTTTTAATTACCAGGTAAAATGTATATTGCATCTATTAATACCTTGCATTTGCACAAGAAATTCAGTTTTGATTCTCCTAGCTGACTCTGATTCATTATCCGATCGTGAACTGCAAAGTGAGTCAATTTCATCTATAAAGATGATGCTTGGCTTATGCTGACGAGCCATTTCAAACAGGTTTTTGACCAGTCTGTTTAAAGAAGAAAACAAAAAAGGAAAACATGTTATCTGACAAACTCCATCAAGATGTTACTTTATAATTAACAAAACTTAAATCCCCTTTTCAAACTCACATGCTGAGTGCAAGACTTAAAGATTTTAGAAAATCTTTGAACAGAACTTTCAGTTGGTGCTTTACCTTAATAATATGATTGGTTTTAAATGCTTCAAATATATTTATATATGAATCAAGATAGTTAATAGCCAACCTGTATGACAAAAGAAGTTTTGTATGTGTTGGTTTGATTTTAAAGTTATTCTTAGTTTCATTTTACAAACTTCACTTTTACAGAGTTTACTGGTCTCAGTAAAAGTGTAAGAATAATCCATTAATCTAAAATTTTTGAGGTACTGTAAAGACATACAGAACTGAATTTCATAATATTTGAAAAACAAGTTACAAATAAAGATACAAGTAGAAATAAAAGACAATATTTATTGAACTGGAGATTAGTAAGAAACTATCTGAAACTCACTATTCCATTAACTCTTGATATTCAGTAAACATTCTGAAAGTTCTTAAAAGGAATTTGTGACTGACATAAAAACTGACTCTTTAGTTCACTTTGGATATGAAATAAATATTCTAGGAATCTCAAGCAAGATGTTGCATGATTAGATGATATTCTTAAGGCACAGTTGTTTTCATCTACTACATTTGATATGCATAAGAACTAACACTATTCCTACTGTGCCTGAATATTAAAGAAAATATATTTTAAATAGTAATATAGCTGATTAAGCATATTAATTATGTAATTCTCATTTATTAAACATAATATAGCATCTGATCAGTTTCATAAAAGCTATTCCAACATTTGTACAGCCTGAAATTGTGTATAATGCTATGTAATAATAACATCCAGTTTTATAAAACTGAAAGAAAAATCAATATTGTTACTCACTTTTCACTTTCTCCTAACCATTTGGAGACTAGATGTGAAGAAGATACTGAAAAGAATGTGGAATTATTGGCTTCAGTTGCTACTGCTTTGGCAAGAAAAGATTTTCCAGTACCAGGTGGCTGCAAAGTAAAAATGCCCAAAGGAAAATTTAAAAAAATTTACAGGGGGAAGAAAGAAATCAACACTTCAACATTACATAGCAGATAAAGATATTTAAAAAAATGCACATTTATATTATGAGATGTTCCCACTGTCTTCACAAAAAATATCACTCATCTCAAATTTTCTTTCATAAATCTGTAACATTATAATGATGCACTTTTACAGTTATTACACATCTTATATGAGTAATAAATAATAACCGATCATTTATATTAAACACCAAACTGCTAAGTATACAAACATTT